CCTCTCTCTCTCTCTCTCTCTCTCTCCCTCCTCTCACCCTCTCTCTCCCCCCTCCCCTCCCTCCACCAGGCTACTCCGGGCGGAAGTGTGACATTGACATCGACGACTGCGCAAGTCAGCCGTGCCTCAATGGCGCCCACTGCATAGACGGCGTGGACATGGTCGACTGTATTTGTCAGCCTGGCTATCAAGGTAAACACACATCATCTTGTTATCTTTACTAAGTGTTTTAAGGCAAACATTCAGGTGGTTTGGACATCTCACACGTATGGCACCTAACAGCTCGCCAGTAAAGACTACCACAGGAAAGTAGCAGGGTACAAAGCAAGAAGAAGACCAAGAAAGACCTGGCTCCAGGGTGTGAAGGATACCCTGAGAACATACAATATCCCACCCAGCCAGGCCATCAAACTTGCTAGAGACAGGAAGCTCTTTCTCCTCTCAACGCCCTAGAGGTACAAGAGGACGGAGAAAGTCAAGTAAGTTTAAAGCATCTGCAACACAAACGGGTCCTAATGTGTCTCCTGCGTCCAATTCAACAACTAGCAACATTACGACAGCGAACAGTGCTGAGAAAAGTGGGACATAATTATTGGTGTATTTTGCGCTCCCAACTTCAAACTTTGAACTCGATGAACGAATAAGAAAACACGCTGTCTTCCTTGGTATTAAGCCTTCCGGGCCTTTCCCCTTTGTACTCAGCCAAGTAGAATCTATTAACGACAATACGCATGCGCCAAGTCTACTGATGAACAACAATGCCCAGTCTCGGAACTGTTTGTTGAATTCACCGACATCCGCGCCATGTTGAGAAAGATGTGTGTGAAGTTGGAATTTTTCAAGCGGACACGAAGACCGCTTTCTTGAAAAGTATACATTACAATATTGAGTTGCAGCGTAGATCTCTCAATAGGACTAATGTGATTCTGAAAATATTTAAGAAAAAATGTTTCAACAATAATTGCTTCTTTACACCCCAATATTATATAATACGGACAGCAATAAAAATCTATTGTTCACGATTTGGACCAATTTTACCAGAATTCTGCCGTTTCCCAAAACATAACAGTGCTTTAAAAAATTCACTATTTCTAAAACAGAAGAAATACTACGAGTTTTTAGCAGTAGCAAATTATTTGTGCGATTATGTCCCTTAGAATTGTCTTTTTCTTTTCCCCCCTTGTTTTCTTTCTCTTTTCCTGCTGGCCTTCCGGGGCTTCCCGATCAAAGTCTCTTCTCAACAAAGTACAGAGTTGAGAGTTTCCATTGGGCTTAGAACTGCTCGTTTAAAAAAAAAATATAATAGTGTTTCATTAAAGTAATAGTTTTGCGGCACTTGCAACACAAATAGGTCAAACAAATGCTTCGTGTTTCCTCTGCTGAGAGATTGCCTGAGAGACAACTGCTTTTCAAATTACTTGTCATTATTTGTGATGGCCCGTATAGCTACGTGTGGGGACAAGTGGGTGGTTGGCGGGAGGATCGTGCAAACGTCTGAGTGAGTCAGATACTAAGTCCTCGGGAACAGGGTGGTTGGCGGGTGTTCTGGTGAGGTCTGCACCTTCCTTTCCGTCAAAGGTCAATCTTCTTTATCTCTCCGCACTTTGTTCTCTTTGTATGCAACGACAGACACCTTCGTTGAAAGACAGAGTGAAGTGGAGGTCTGTGATCGCCCGCGCCAATCGGTAAGGCACCGGATGATGCAACATTCTAGCAGTCCCTCTGACCGTCGCCTCTGATCTTCCACACTTGTGACATGTTTGTGTGTCCAGATGCCGTGAGACTCTTAGAAGGTGGTTGGTGGGTGCTCTGGGGCAGTTAGCTCCTCTTTCGTGTCATTCATCTTCCCAGTTTTCCTAAACTGCCTCCTCCTACTTGTTTTGTGGTTTGCTATTTCGGTAACACCTGTAGTCTCCGGGACTTGTACCACCTGTTTGCATTGCAAGTGCCGTAAAACTCTCACTTAAACGTGTTTCTTAACGTCCCCAGGAGAGCTGTGTGCTGATGACGTGGATGAGTGCCTAATGGACATATGCAGCAACAACGGCACGTGCATCAACTCACCAGGCAGTTACCGCTGTGAGTGTACCACAGAGTACCAGGGCCCGCACTGCACACAGGATGTGGATGAATGCGGTTCGAATCCCTGCCAGAATGGATCCAGTTGTGTCAACCTACACGGCAGTTTCCGCTGTGACTGTGTCCGAGGGTTTGAAGGTAAAATAAGACGGTTGCATATCTATCCGTCCTGTAGTTTGGGAATTTAAATCCAAATAAAATAAAACATACTTCTAACTATGGAGCTTGTTTTTTTGTCAAGTGGTTTAGAGCATTTTAAAAAGAAGATGTAGATCTAGTTCCGCACTTTGGCCCCCCCAAAACGGCAACAGATAAAACAGTCGGCGTGATAAGGAACACAACGCTGGTGAGAAAAGGTGGGCGCGGCACTGGGAAAAACTGGTGGGAGCGACAAACATGAAACAATGTCAGATAGACCTAGCGCCACCTGGGATGTTCTTTGTCTCATGTCAGTCAAAACTAAAGATAGGAACAAGTTTACTGCCTTCAGTAACAGAGAATGTGACTGACGATAATAGATAACAGAGAATGTGACTGACGATA